CACTACAGTATAACAATTGTTTATATAGCATCTACATTAGGTATTATAAATAATATAGAGATGATTTAAAATATACAGGAGGATGTGCATTGGTTATATGTAGATGCCACGCCATTTTATATAAGGGATATGAGCATCTGCAGACTTGGGTATCTATGGCGGACGGTCTTAGAACAAACTCCCCATGGAACCAAGGGACAACAATATTTTTTTAAGTATTGCAGCTTTATTGTTCTTCAGAATTGCCCTAGCTATTCTTGGCTCTTTGCATTAAGGTTTTGCGAAATCTGTGAATTAATCTGAGGATGACTAACATCTTAGAATACTGAGTCCTCAAATCTATTAATTCAATCCATTGATTTAAGTTCTTTAAATTCTTCTAGTAATGTTTTATTTTTACTGCAGAGGCCTTACATTTTTTGGTTAAGCTGTTTCTGGTTATGAATGTTTTTTTGTTTGTTTGTTTTCTGTTTGGTCATTTCTAATTTATTTGATCTAGTATGTTTATGTGTGTTGACATATCCAACATCTTGCTAAACTCAGTAATTCAGAGAGATTGTCCTTTCAAATTTTCTTGCAGTAAAGTTTTTATTTTTACTTCAACGTTTCATGCTATAAATTTGTGATGGGATAAGAGAACCTCCAAGAAAAAAATTGTTGAGATAAATTATGAAGGGATAGTCTTTAGAATTAAGTTATTATAGATTGATAACTATGCTGGGAAATATGCATGAAACTGCATTTTTTCATAACAGTTTTAGAAATGATAATAAACTGATGATTCATTTCCTTACATTGACCTACCTTCCTTATGAAGGTACGAGTATTCATTGAAGTGATCCTATGATCTGAATGTTTGTGTCTGTGCTTCAGCCCCCCATTCATATGTTGAAACACGTCCTCCAAGGTGATGGTATTAAGAGGTGAGGCCTTTAGGAAATGGTTAGGTCATGGCAGAGCACTCATGAACAGAATTAATGCTCTTATAAAAGAGGCCTGGGAAAACTGCCTTGCTCCTTTCACAAGTGAAGACACAGCTAGAAGGGACCATCTGTGAACCAAAAAGCAGGCCCCACTAGACGCCAAAACTGTTAGTGTCTTAATCTTGGCCTTCCCAGCCTCTAGAACTGTGAGAGGTAAATTTCAGTTGTTGTCTACCTACCCTGTTTTTGGTACTTTATGTTTTATTATACCCATCCAAACAGACTAAGGTGATATGTGTGAAAAATGCACGTTTGTAGCTAAATTTAAAACAGTAGTATATAAATATAAAGTCTTTCTAGACACTCTAAATAAAGAAGTAAAGGGGAGATCTGAAATTAGTCATATTCATTTGTTTACTATGTCAACATTTTCTGATTACCCATTATGTGCCAGGCGTTCTAGGTAATAGTGATACAGCAACTCAAACGAGTAAGTCCATGAATGTTAGATCAGTAAATAAAAAGACTGCTGGTATGTCACATGGTAATAAGTGCTACAGAGAGAAATACAAGGGGAAAGAGAGACAGTTTCCCAAAACTCGGGTTGGTATTTAAATAATATTGTCAGTCATGGCTCTGCAGAAGGGATATTAGTACTAACAAGGAGTGGGCCATGAGAATATCTGGGAAATGAGCTTTCCACACAGGTGGGACAACTTCAGAGACCCTTGTAGCTTGCAGTAGAGTGACCAATGTGAAGAGGTGCAGAAAATGAAATACTAGGAGTATAAAGGCAGAGGAGTATGGCACCCCGACCCCATAGAGATTGCAGGCCATTGTAAGACTGGATTTCACTCTGTATGAGACGAGACCCTTTGAAAGGGTCTTTACACTGTTTCATTGTGTTTGTTTTTTGTTCTATTTTTAATTTACCAGAGGGCATATGTATTTGTTGGAGAGAGAGAAAGAGAAAGGGAAAGTGAGAAAGCAACCCCATGTGGAATGGTAACTCTGCAATCCCTTCTTTCCATCTCTCCCTCCTTTGGGGTACACACATGTGTTTAATGTTTCCCAAACCACTGGGGGACTTAAACTTCATAGCCATGTGGGATCCAGCCAATGCCACCCAGTTGTCCCTGAAAGGATTTTTTAAAAGAGTTACATGATCTGTCTTAATGTTTTAAAAAGGCTTATTCTGGCAGCTGAATTCAGACTGGATTGTTAGGAGGGAAAGTAGAAGCTGGAAGCAATCAGTAAATTCTTGCGGTTATCCAAGGGAGGTGTGGTGTTGGTGTGGACTAGGGTGCTGGGGGAGGTCCTGAAAAGTGATCAGATAATAAATGTGTTTTGAAGGTAAAGCCAATAGCTATTTTTTTTTTTTTTTTTTGAGAGAAAGAGATTTTTGCCATCAGGTGAGTGTGCTTGCCAGAGAGACAGAGAGATAGAAAGCAAGAAATCACCTCCCAGGGAGGATGGCCACACCCTTCTCCTCTTGGAATTTTGAGCACGTATGCACACATGCCCAGCATTGAGTTTCAAGTTGATCCAAGACCCTGCAGTTGACCATGTGAGAGTCCAGTACCTTAACCACTATACCACCTACTGGACCTGCCAACGGTATTTTCTAATGATTTGGAAATAGAGTATGGCAAAAATAGGAAGGCAAAGATGACCTCTTAAGTTTTTGGCCAAAACAATGTGAGGAATAGGGTTGCCATTTAATTAGATAGCAGGTTTTTACTTACTTGTTTTTGTTTTGGAGGGTTTCTTTTTAATCAGCATTTGTTTTTGGACATGCTAGATTTGAGAAGTCTGTTTGACCTTAAATTGGAGATTTGTCAGGCTTGTAAATGTGTGCAGATATATATGTAGTATGTGTGTGTTTATGTGTGTGTGAGAGAGAGAGAACTCAGTGAGGTCTAAGCTGGAGATGCAGGCCTGGGAGTCTTAGTTTTGGAAAATAATTTTTCCTAGGTATTTCCTTTGAATTGATCTCTTAACTGAAGAAAGTATTAGGCCTGTTGAGATCTGATGATATTAATGCATAGAATATCAAGTATTTGTTAAAAGTGTTTGAAAATAAAAAGTGACTGGTATGGGTGGTGAGTAGGATTGAGAGAAAGGCATGAGATGGGGTCCTTTGGTGTGTTTTGTTTCTTGCTCTTGGCACTAGTTACATGCGTATGTTCTCTTTGTAAAGACTCATCAAGTTGCATGCTTATAATTTTTTGCACTGTATATATAATTCAATTTATGTTTCCGCATATGTTAGAAGTCGCTGAAAAATCCAAGAACAAGGACTACAAAAAAATAGTACAAAGTAGTATATCCTAAGTGTCTAATAAAGAATAGAAACAATGACTGCTATTAGGAAAGAGGATGATCAGTATTGGCCACGAAGTTTTCATTGAAAGCATTTAAACAAGAAGAAAGATAGAGAGCTTTCTAGAACAGATAAATCACGAAACTCTGCGTTCAGCTTTCCTAGGAAACAGGAATGTTCATGTCCCACAGTGGAAAGTAGCTTAGTTAGCAAGGCAAGATTTATTTTCTAAAACAGGAAAAGAAAGCCCATATGGATTATGTGTAGATAATCCTAATTATCATATTGCGTGACAAAAGTCCATGCCATATGATAATTAAGATTAGTTACACGTAAGTCTACAAGAAGTCTACTTGTTAAAACAAGAGACTCTTAAAAATAATGTCTCTTTTGTATCCCCATTGCAACTTTCTTGTATCAGACTTACAGACTTCAGAGTATATCCAGATTTATTTATTATTTATCCTTATGTTTAAGGTAGGTAACAAGATAAATTACTTGTTTTTACTTCAAAGCTAAAGGATTTATCCTTAATCCTTTCTTCTCATTCTCCCCCTTAAAAGCTGAAAGAGAAGTCTACTTGGAAGAAAAATCAAGAGGCAAGGGTGATCTGTACACCCTAAATAATGAGCCATCTCTAGAACAGCCAATAGAAGTATAATGTGAGCACATACTGTCCAATAGAAGTATAATGTGAGCACACATTTGTGATTTTAAATTTGTAATAGTCATGTTTAAAAAAAATGAAGAGAGGGACCTGTAGATGGTGTAATGGTTGGGTTGCTCAACTGCCATGTAGCTGACCTCAGTTCGAGTCCTGGACTCTGGCTTAAAACTCATACCAGGTGCATGTGCATGTGTGCCCAAAATCCCAAGAGGAGAATGGAGGGATTGTGGTGTGGTCATTCCCCCTGGTGTGTTGGGGTGATTTCACACTTTCTGTCTCTATAGCAAAAATCTTTCTAAAAAAAATAAACAGGCAAAATTATTTTTTAATATATTTTGTTCAACTTAATATGTCTAAAATGATATCATTTTATGGTGTAATCAGTAAAAGCCATTTTAATAGAAACCATTTACATCTTTTCTCATGCTAAGTCTTTGAACTCACAACACATCAATTTGTATATTCAGATTGGAGTACTCTATGGCCACATGAAGCTGAAGCAAAGTTCTACAGCTGGAATTGAAAATTATTGCACAGCAGACCTCAATAAAAGAAGTTTTATTTTTAATTTGCCAGGGGATGCATACTTTCGCCATAGAGAGAGAGAAAGAGAAAGTGTCCCCTGTGGGGAATGATCAGGCTATAATCCTTTCTCTTCCATTTCTTCCTCCTTTCAGGGTCTTGGGTATGCAAGCACACACACCAGTATGTTTCTTAGGCCACTGGATCTGGGACTCAGCTGTGCTTTCAGCCACAGGAGTTCCAACCATCTTACCACCATGTCACTGGCTGGCCCAATAAGTTATTATTAAGAGATTTCACTCATTCAACAGATTTTATTGAATACCTCAATACATGCTAGTTTAGCACAAAACGTATCGAAAACTACTAGATGTTTCTTTGAGAGTTCATCATAAATAAGAGTTCTTCATAATAAATTCTAAAATTATACTTATAAAATACTTGAATTTTCTGTTATTATATGCTTTTCAAAATATGTTGACTTGCTTCACCGAGTTTTTTCTATTTAATACATTAGGTAATTGTATGTAACTACAGAAATGTCAGCTTTTATCCAGTTTGCATTTTTTTTATATATTTAGGGCTTATATTCAGTCTTGAAGATTAAAACAACATTGAACTTATTTCAAAACTTTGTTTGAAAGTTACTGAATTTAAAACTTAAATTATGTGGGTCTAGCAGGTTGACTGTGGTTTAAGTCCTGGACCCGACAGCTTGAAACTCTTGCCAGGTGCATGTTCACAGGTGCCTAAAATCCTGAGAGGAGAATGGAGGAGAAAGAATGGCGGTGTGGCCATCCCCCTGTAGGGTGATTTCTCACTTGCTCTCTCTCCATCTCTGTCTCTGTCTCTCTGGCAAATGCATGTGCCCGATAGCAAAAAATGTCTTTTTTTTTTTTTTCAATTAAATTGTGTAGGACAAAAGTGGCTATTCATAGCTTCTTCAAGCATAGTGATTCTTATATCAGTTTTAGAACATGTTGGCATGTTTTGGAAGCTGACGAGTTTATTATTAGAGTGAACAGGAAAAGTATTTTGTCTTAAATTTGTCATATTCATATTTCTTTAGAAAAATATCTTGTTGATGGTGCCTGCATTGCTTATTTGTACATTTGGTGATCTAAATGATGTTTTTACTTTTTTTAACATAGTCGTTATAGTACAACTTATCAAGTAAAAGTTTTAAAAACATGTGATTTGAATTTTTAAATCTTTACTTTTTATGTATATTTCTCTCTCTTTCTGTCTCTGTCTCTCTTTCTCTCTCTCTCTGCATAGGTATATAAAATACTAGTAAAGAAAACCCCAGAAGAGAGCTGGGTAGTTTTCAGAAGATATACTGACTTCTCTAGGCTTAATGACAAAGTAAGTACTTTAATAAATTCAAAACTGACTTTTCAATTTTGAATCATTATGGGTTCCCTCCATGTCTGTTATGTTTGTATTTGTTTCTGCCTTGTTAATTATTTAAGTCAAATCAAATCTCTGCTAGTTCATATGAAAATTAGGTGTTTCATTTCACTTTAATAACCTTAAGTTCCATCTTTACACTCAACTTATATTACAATTATTTTTAATGTAGAAATATGAATCTTTAAAATTGCTAACAGAGGTATAAATTACTTTTATAGAAGCTTGTAAGTTTGAAAAAGATATATGTAATGAATTTCTTATTATAAAATCATATGACTACAAGGAAATAAAATTTTTTACACATGGCTTTTCTATTGTTGCGTAACAGATGACCCCAAACTTAGCTGCTTCAAATAACATCTGTTTATTATTGAGTGGTGTGCATGGATTTAGCTAGGTGTGTTGCTTAGGATCAATCGAAATTAAGCTATTGGCTGGGCTGAACTATTATCTGGAAGCTTGGATAGACTCACTTTCCACACGCACTCTGGTTGTCGGCAAACTTGTTTCTTGGAATTGCAGGACCACTGTTTCCTTGCTGGCTCTCAGCCAGGTACCATTCTTACCTCATAGAGACTGCTTTTAGGTCCTTGGACACAGGCCTGTCATCTTCAGACCGAGCAATTGTGAGCCAAGTCTTTCCTGTGCTTTGACTCTCTCTGACCTTCTCCCTTGTGTCACCATCCAGAGAAAACACCCTAACAGGCTCAGGTGATAAGAGTAGGCTCACCCCGATAATCTCCCTATATTAAGGCCAACTGACTAGTAACCTTAATTATAGCTGTAGAATCTTTTTTTGGTAATGCACCAGCATCACAAAAGGAACACCAGAGGCAGGAGTTGAGGAGCTATGTAGAATTCTTCCTGCTGCACAAGTGAAAGAGTGAATTTAATAATGAACCACCATACATTAAGAACCTTTAAAAATACACTTAAAAGGTGAGCTTAAAAGTGAAAATATGGGGTCAGAAGGTGGCATGGTAGTTAAGGTGCAGGACTCCCACATAGCTGAGCTTGCTTTGAGTCCTGGACCTGGTAGCTTAAAAAAATCACACCCGGTGCATGTGCATGGGTGCCCAAAAGCCCAGAAGGAGAATTGAACAGAAGGGATTGTGGTTTGATCATCCTCCCTGGGGAGTGATTTCTCTCACTTTTTCTCTCTAGCAAGTGCATACACCCTTTGGCAAAAAGCAAAAAAAAAGTAAAAAATAAAACAAATGATACAGGGTAATTTACAGAAGGCATATAAATGACCAATAAAGCTGAAAAACATAAATATCACAGGTACTCTAAGAAAATGAAATATTCTCACTTATCAAGTTGGCAGACACTTAAATGGTGTCATCCAAAGTATGAACCTTTCTAGAGAACATAAAGTTTTCATAATTTCTATAACAGTCTCATTTCTAGGATTTGTCTTATGTAAACCATTACGAATATTGGAAAGATTTAGCTCTAAGGGTCATTGTGGGAAAGATTGATCTCTTAGAATACTTATCCCATTGTTTTATTTATTGTTCTTTTATTGGTATTTTATATTATTTTTAATAGTTAAAAATTAGAACCAAACTAAATTTCTAACAATGTGGAATCAAGTAAGCAAACCGCAGTGAGACTGTAATAGAGAAAAGAGAGCTGAGCTGTCCAAATGGCTAGAGAAAAATCAGATAGCAGATGGTGGTTCATGTTTTGGAAATAAAAAGAAAGATCATTTCAAACAAACAAACAAATGGTCTAAGCGGCTATTCAGAGGCCAGGTAAGGTGACTTGAGAACGTCCAGAAGTTGCTCCCAATGTCGACAGGTGCGTAGTAGAGGACGTCTTAGTGGCCCTCTTCTCTCCCATGTGCCCCTTCCCCTTCCTCCTTCATTGGACTACTTAACACTTCTCGAGTTAGTATATTTTTTATGCTGGCTGGTGAGAAACCCCTTTTATGTGACTTTGCAACTGTCTCTCTGCCAAAAAGTTTCTGCCACTCTGAAAATCTCATTTTAACTGAAAAGGTAAAATATGGAACACTAAACTGTTTTATCCTTTATTAAGGTATGGTTAAAACGCTTTTCTGGGGACCAGCAGTTAGTGTAATGGCTATGTCGCTGGACTCCCATGTAGTCAACCGCAGTTCATGTCCCAGACCCGGTGGCTTAAAGCTCACACCAGGTGTGTGTGCGCGCGCGCCCAAGATCCCGAGAGGAGAATGGAGGAGAAGGGATTGCAGCGTGGCCATCCCCCCTGGGGGGGTGATTTCTCGCTTTCTGTCTCTCTGTCTGTCTGGTGAGCACACATGCCCTTTAGCAAAAAACTCTCAAAAATAAAAAGCTTTTCTTTAGTCTGCCAAAATAATTAAAGTGTTATTTGAAGTATATCTGTTGTCATATTTGAATTTTATTTACTCTTCCTGAGTTTCATGATACACTGATGAATTAAAAACGTACAATTCTGTAGTAGTGATGATTTTTTAAAGAATTATTGTATTTAACTTTATTTATTATTATTATCATTATTACTTTCCAGTTTGATCAGAGAGAGACAGAGAGAGGAAGTGAGAAAGCAAGCCACCAGGTCCAAGACTTGAACTGTGGTTGGCCATGTGGGCATCCAGCGCCCTTAACCACCATGCCACTTGCCGGCCCCAGTACTGATGATTTTTTAAATGCTTAATCAAATAGGAAGAACAGCACAATTCATGAAGTTACTGGACACTAAAGTAGAATTCTTAGCTTTCTTATGAAATTGTTCTAATTTTGTTTATGCAGACTAATTTCAGCTTCACGGTAGAGCTATTTAATCCCTGATAACTTAATTTTTTTTCTTTTCAAGACTCAATGTTACTTAGTGTTTGCCTCTCTTCATCATGCAAGACTTACCTTTATTGCTAAAATGTTTCTTGTCCTGGGAAAACTGAGACTTAGGTAACTCTTAAACTTTTTTTTTTTTCCGAAATCCATTCACTTTAATATTGTCCACAAGAGAGAGAGATAAGCACCCCCTGATAAGGTCCCCATGCCGCAGTCCACCCTGACTCCCAGCCAGCCTGGACCACGGGCACACGGCAACACCCAGATGTCCAAGGAGGCCCTGGGTCAGGAAGCAGAGCCTTTCCCTCATAGGTCCAGTTGCTTTCCCATTGCACCATTGTCCTGCTTCTCTTAGGCTTTTTGAAGAAAGATGTTAGTTGGACTTTAATTTAAATGTCGTAACTATCTCCATGATTCTCCAGACTGGACACTTGATATATCTATGTCAGTCTAAATGTAAGAGCTCTACATATCACCTGCTTTTACTTGAAAGATTGAGAAATATATGTCATATACCAGCAGACTCACAGTTTAAATTGTAGTTCTTATTTTTTTAGTTGTTAAACATGAAATAAAAGCTTACGATTTTCCATTTTGAAAATCAGTCATAACAGCCAGTCAGTGGCACAGCAGTAACATGCTGCTCAGGCAGTGCTGTGTCCATAAGGAGGGGCACAGGTTTGGTTCCCTGGTCAGCTGGTGCATGCGCACACCCATAGCCCTGACCGGCTGGAGGCCTTGGGGGAAATGGTAGTGTGAGACTCTGCTGAGGGTGCTTGGCTTTGTCTCTCATTCTCATGAAAGAAAGATAAACTTCAAAAAAAAAAAAATATGTCATAAAATATTTATGAAATGAGTGTTTTCAATTAGGCATTGTGCTAGGAATTTGAAACCATGCAGAAACCATATGGATATGATCCTAACTTTAAGGAGTTTACACTTCCAATTATCTATTGTTGTGAAGAAATAACAGCTAATTGACAATACAGAAATTACTGAACTTAGTAAAAAATAACACTGGTTAGAAAGAGAAACATTTTTATAGAACTCTCTTCTTCTGCCTCTTCTTTTTCTTCTTCTTTTTTTGTTTTTCTTTTCTTTTTTTGATCTCCTGGGTTGTGGCCTGACTTCAGCTTCTCTGAAGAGTTTATAAGGGCCTCTAGTGAGAAAGTCAGAGGCCAAATTCATAAGCAAGTTCTGAAACACACAGGGCTTATCAGAGTTGAGGAATCCAGGTTGGGTTGTAGGGTGGACTGGTTGATATGTTGGTTCCAGAGATACAGCATAATGAGTGGGTTTTCAATACATTCTAACCAAAAAGCTCAGTATTTTCTACTTGTAGGTTGTAGCCATAGATCAAAGCTAAACAGTTATGTGTGGCAAAATGATTACTCTCAGTTGGTTCTAGAAAACAGAGCACAGGCAGAGACAAAGTAGAACTGTTATCAACGCATTGTCCAGACAAACCAAGGTCTTCTGAAAATCCAGGCCAGGCTCAACAAGATATTCAGTCCTCAAATTAAAAAGGTCGGCGATAGTCCTCACCATGTGTCTTCGGAGTCACCCCACTCTGTTCCGAACTCATTTGCCCTCGAGTGGCATCTTGGATTGCATTTCATAGTCTTTCTGGGGATTTGTTTCACTTTTCTCCTTTGCTGGATCTTGTTTCCCTTATCTCGCGTCTTTCTCTTTCTTCTTTTATTCAATGTGGGCCAGCTCCCTCTTTTCTATGGATAATTTTGGGAGGCGGATATCTAACCATGTATTTGCATATCATATATATGACGTTTAAGTTGTAAAGCTTAAACGTGAAGAAAAATGTTTTTATTTTGTCCTCATGACTTTTATTTTTATTGCAGACACATTAAATAACAAAGCTTCACATCCAAAATTAGTTATGTTTTGAAACCAAGCAGGATTTTCAGTTATCCCAGTTGCTTTCTAATCTTCTCATTTTATACTCACATAGTTAGAGAAATATAGATGGACTATTATATTTACATTTTTACTTAACTTTTTTTTTTAATAGGATCTCATTTTTGTGTTTCTTTCCCCTCAGTTTCCCAGCTGGGACTACAGGCACATACCGCTGTGCCTGACTTGTAGACAGGGTCTCACTGTGTTGCCCAGATTAGCCTCGAGCTCACACTCCTGCCTAAACCTTCTACTTGGCTGGGATTCCAGGTGCACACTACCCAGCCTGGCCTCTAGGTTGGCCAGGAGTCAATCCCTGGCCTTCCAGGTCTGTTTACAGAGCATATAGCATCTTAGCAGCGTGTGCCTCGGCAGCTGAATCTTCACTTAATATTTTTACCTCTTAATAGTTTTTTTGTTGTTGTTGTTCCTGCGATATTTAGTTTTATTGTAAGTGTAGGATATAAAGATACGTGAATTCATTTCATTCATTCATTTACTGAACATACTGTTTACTGCTTGCTATAGAGCAGGTATTATGCTAGACACTGAGGATGAAACTACAAAGAAGGCATAATAATTACAGTATAATACATGGCTCTCAATCTTGATTTCATTTTGGACTCCCCTGGAACGCTATTTAAAATCACAGTGCCCAGGCCACAGTCCAACTGAAAGTACCCTAATATACCAGAGGTAGGACACCGTCATTACTATTTTTAAAAACTCTGAGTGATTTCAATGTGCAGCTAAGCTTCATAATCACTGGTCTGGTAAGAAAGTCTAAAATGAGGGATCAGAAGTTGATATAATGGTTACACATAGACTGCCACATTTCTAACTATGGTTCGAGTCCTGAACCTGGCAGCTTGAAATTCACATTGGGCACGTGTTTGTGTGTGCCCAAAAATCCCGAGAGGAGAATGGAGGAGAAGGGATTGTGGCATGGCTGTCCCCCCGGGGGGTGATTTCACACTTTCTGTCTGTTTGTACTTCTCTGTCTCTGGCAAGCACACATACCCTGTAACAAAAAAATCTCTCTCAAAAAAAAAAAAAAAATGAGTCCAAAATTAAATAAACATCATTTAGGTAGCAATAAAGTCCTTTCATGATTTGATATGTATGGGAGATTGTCTTTTCTACAAGTGGCCACAGTAATCCCATATTCTCTTCCAGAATCTTGCCATTGCCCATTAAGTAATCAAATCTGTTTTCCCCCTCCCTGGCCTTGGGCCTCAATGGGCTTGTGAGCCCTTAAACCAATAGAGCACAGTAGATAAGATGCTATGTGACTTTCAAGGCCAGATTTATAAGATTTCATCCTTGCTTTTTCTCTTGGGATACTCCTTTTTGAAACCCAGACTCCACTTTGTGAGAAAGTCTAGGATACCTGGAGAGGCCAGTGTTAGCTTTATGGCTATTAACCCACCTGCGGTCTCAGTCGACAGCCAGCATCATCTATTATACTTGTGAGGGGATGAACTTAAGGTGATCCTGCCTCGCAACCTTCAAGTCTTCCAGATAAAGCCCAATTCATTGTAGAATGGAAGTCAGTCATCCTCACTAAACTTCTTGTGAGGTACCAGTCACAGAATCGTAAGTTTAATAAATGGTTGTTTTATACCACTGAGTTTTGAGGCAGTTTGTTACACAATTAGATTAACTTAAATAAACTGTGTAAAGGGAGACTTAACCTAATTTAAAAGGTTGAGAAAGTCTTTCCCAAGAAAGTAAAATGTAAGCAAAATGTGCAAAATTAATATATACTTCAAGGAAAAGAAAGCAAAAAGTATTTGTAGTGTTGGAGTAAGCAAAACTTTCTTACAAAATGAAAAAGTATAGGGGCCGGCAAGTGGCGTGGTGGTTAAGGGCACTGGACTCCCTCCTGGTTGACCATGGTTCGAGTCCCAGACCTGGCAGCTTGCTTTCTAACTTCCCTTCTCTTTCTCTCTTTCTCTCTCTCTCTCTCACACATACACACACACACACACACACACACACACACACACACTATCTCTCACTCTCTGGTCAAATTAAAAATAAATGAAATTAAATAAAATCATTCTTAAAAAATTAAAAAGCATACACTATAAAAATAGAAATTGGATAATATTTAAATTAAAGATATCTGGTCAAGTAAGACTTAAATTGAAAAGTCAGGCCATGTTGGGAAAGACTAGTTGTAATGCATATATCTGACAAAGGACTTTATATCTAGAATATATAAAGAACTACAACTTAATAAAAAGAAATCTCAGTTTTGTTTTTTTTTTTTTGGTGGGAAGTCAAAAGATTTAAATAGGGAACCAGCAGTTAGCGTAATGGCTATGTCGCTGGACTCCCACGTAGTCCACCGCGGTTCGTGTCCCGGACCCGGTGGCTTAAAACTCACGCCGGGCGCGTGTGCGTGCGTGCCCAAGATCCCGAGAGGAGAATGGAGGAGAATGGATTGCGGCGTGACCATCCCCCCTGGGGGGTGATTTCTTGCTTTCTGTCTCTATGTCTCTGTCTGTCTGGTGAGCGCACGCGCCCTACAGTGAAAATCTCTCCAAAAAAAAAAAAAGATTTAAATAGATAATTCACTGAGGAATATATACATATAAGCAAATGAGAAGATATTCAACGTCATTTGTCATGAGGAATGCAAATTACAACCATAATAAAATAGTACCACATGCATACTGGGATATCTGTCATTAAAACTGGACAGTGCCAATTTTCAGCAAGGACATGGAAGTCATTAGAATTCCTATGTAGATATGACTGGTAAAAATTTTTAATTCCACGTGAAATTTAGCTGAATTTAATTATTTTATTTCATGAATAATTTAAAGTTAGGGTAGACTGTAAAATTGAGATAATTGAGTTAAATATTTTCTCTTTTCTTCTTTTTCAGTTAAAGGAGATGTTTCCAGGCTTTCGACTTGCACTTCCACCAAAACGCTGGTTTAAAGATAATTATAATGCTGACTTTTTAGAAGATAGACAATTAGGATTACAAGCATTTCTTCAAAATTTAGTAGCTCACAAGGACATTGCTAACTGGTATGTAACAAATTGCAATAAGAAATTATAAAGCATTCCACAACTTGCCTAAACTGAAAAATAAATCTAGGACCATCATTGAAGTATAAAAATATAGGGTAGGACTATAATTTATTGTTCGCTCTAATAAAGTGCTACATGTGATTTTCTTTTTTTCAATAATGACTTTATTTGGCATTTCATTTTTATTAAACCTCTTAAAAAGTCATTAAAGTGAAAAATTCAGTAAAGCATGTACACAGGCCACCCAATGGTATATGATATTTTCACAATCATTTAAACAGAATGGCTCATTAGTAAAAATTTGGTTAATGGGGTGCTATATAATTTTGAAGGTAATAATCTTTATATTTTTTCAAAGTAATGCAAAAATATGTAAATTGTGAAGTTGTTTTTATTTATATAGAACATAAAGTGAAAATATCAAAACCATTGAAAAGGAAGAGAAGGCATTTACACAGATTTTTGCTTCTGAGTATAAGAAGGTTGTTTATATGTTTTTATATCAGATAGGTATCTAATTTTACTCTTAATAAAAGAACTAAAAGAACTCTATTCCAGATTCATATATGAAAATAATCATCTCCTTGATACCTCTTTGAGATATCTCAAAGTTACTGTAAACCTAGAACAGACTTATTCATCTTAGTCTACAGACTTTTCCCTCCAATTTTCGTCATCTGCTCAGAACATGTGAGTCATCCTTAATGCATCCTTCACTACCCTGACCCCTTTACTTTCGAAGTGCCCCTCAAGTCTGGCTACTTTTCTCCATCTCTGACATCAGTACCCGAATCCAGGCAGTTATCACTCACCTTCGTTACTGTAGACGTTTTCCTGC